GAGCCAGCACAATAAGTGCAAAAAGATCCACACCAAAGCATACCTTCATGAAATCTCACACTAGGAACAAAGAGAGTGCCATATAATCAGTTCACAAAATAGACATGTGCCAAATAATCATGTTGCATGTTGCAAACCTACATGTCTTATACATCAATTATATCTCAGGAAACCTCGAAATTAGAGAGAGAGCAAGAGTGAGAGAGAGAGAGAGAGAGAGCCATAAAAGCTTCCAGTGAATAAAAACAAGTCAAAGACCAAAAATCGTATCAGTCTTACGAAAAGCTACGAATGCTAGAATTTGGTAACGCCTTTAGAATTCTGAACAAAAACTATTTGCTACCCCAAATTTTATAGCCAGGTAAGGTATCAACAGAATCTAAGGGTAGAAAAAGTAATCTTCAGACATGCAAGGATGCAGAAAGTATCTCCCTCATATGTAACCTTTCTAAGAAATTACTCAAAAATGTGCTCCAGTGAAATGGAAAAAATCAAGAACATTACACAAGATTCAGGAAGACATTCCCATTGGGGACAAAGAATACTCTTCTAAGAAGCTTGACATACATTGTGTAGACATTGGAGGAACCATGGTTTCAAGCTGGAAAGCCATGCAATGAGATCCAAGTTTTAGAAAGAACATTCTGTCCTAAGTCTGAAGGTGGGTTCTAAGACAAATCAGGAAGTTTTTGTGCAGCTTAGGTGAAATGTAATTCAGACCTAAATTAAGGTGGTAGTAAGGAGAACTGTGAGACTGTAGACAGTTACAGACATAAAAACAGCTAAGCTAACATCTGATTAGAGGGTGTAGTTCAAATGCATCTTACTGTAGACATTCATGGCACAGCTATAGGGCAAGGGCAAGAGAGACTCCATGAGAATACAAGTCCCAGAAGATGGTGGAGAGAAAACAGGACTTAACACCAGTAGGCTTGGAGGAAAGAATCACTCCATTTGGGATTTTTTGCGTGGAGAAGCAGCACTACAACCATTTTCAAGTGTAAAGGAACTCCTACCTTCCTTTCTGATAGTAGCCAGACTTTCTGATTAAAACTGTAGATCTTGGGGCGCCTGGGTGGCTCAGTGGGTTAAGCCTCTGCCTTCGGCTCAGGTCATGATCTCAGGGTCCTGGGATGGAGCCCTATATCAGGCTCCCTGCTTAGCAGGGAGCCTGCTTCCCTCGCTCTCTCTCTCTCTGCCTGCCTCTCTGCCTACTTGTGATCTCTGTCAAATAAATAAATAAAATCTTTTTAAAAAATAAATAAAATAAAATAAAATTGTAGATCTCTGCAAGAGAAGTTAAATCCCAGAAAGAGGGGAAAATTACCAAAGTAGCATGAGTGGAGCAGCCAGCATCTGGAAAGCGCAGCAGCTCAGGAGCACTTTAGGTTAACAGCAGGCCCAATGGATTAGAGCTACATCAAGTGGCTCATGCCAGCAGGGAGTGAGATGGCTCCAGATTGATTCCAGTTTGGGCTGTAAGTGGCTTTAGGCCCTTGAGATGATCTTGGAGATGTAGGCAAGGGCCAGATCTTCAGGACATTAAAAAACATGGTAGGAAGAGTAAATGTTATTCATGGTACATTGGGAAGTCACTGAAAGGTTTTCAGCAGGAGGAAGACCTTATTCATCCCCTATGCTATGACTACTTATTCATCCCCTATGCTATGACTACATCCCCTCTGACTACTCTGACTGCTGTGTGGAGGGTACACTGGAAGGGAAGAAGGTTAGACAAGAAAGCTATTGCACCAAGAGATGATGTTAGCTCAGACTGGAGCTGCAATTACATGAATTTGGGATTTAGGGGAAGAGAGGTGTTGTGTGTATATGTGTGTGTGTGTGTGTGTGTGTGTGTGTGTGTGTGTGTGTGTGTTTTCTTCCTAGATTAAATGGAGGAGGTTGGGTGGGAATGGAAGATTAAAAGCTAAGTTTGGGAAGGACCTGTTAAGTTGGAGTTGCCTATGAGGCATACAGGCCAAGATGTCAAATAAGCTGTATTTGCCAGGTTCCTTGCTTCTGACTTGGGCTAAGAAAACCCTAGACTGGGTAAGAAAGGAATTGACATTCATTGAATACCTACTATCTGCCAAGTTCTCATTATGTTACTGGTGTCTCTATTATAAGTTTTACACACATTTTCCAACACTGCTTTTCTCCATGCCCGTCCAAGCCCTCTCCCAATTCAGCTCCACTGGGACCCAACTGGAGGCCCCCTGAGATACGCTTGTTATAGACACGCAGACAAATGATGGAGTTAGTTCCTCCCTCCCAGAGTCCTAATGAGTCCCTGGAGGATTGTTGCCCCTGCATCTGTGTTCAGAAAAGACTCCAGAGACCTGACAAGAAGGGGTAGAGAAAGTTCCTAGGACACTAACCCCAAACTCGAGCTCCAAATTACAGTTATGGCTCCACCCTTGGTTTGCTGAATCTTTTTGGATCTAATATGCCTCCTTTTCTTCATCTTAGCCACCTGCTTCATAAAAATGTTCTGAGAATTGTAGTGAGATTCTAAATTACCTAGAGAGCATCTTAATGTAGGCTCCTGGGTCCCACCATCAGAGATTCTAATCCACTTGGCTTTGGGTGTGGCTCAGGAGTCTGTACTGCAGGTTATTCTGACGCTGGTCCAGGCACCACAGGAAACCCTGATCTGCAGAGTGGTAAATTCCCAGCTTTCACGAAATATGTGCCTCAGTGCTATCTATCCCCCCCACGTCGATCACTATAGCACTTTTAAAATAAGGCCCCAAATTCTTTGACACTCCTCCCATTGTGAGATGGGTTATATGTTCCCTGTCTTTAAATCTACTAGTTCTCTTGGGACACCCCAGATGCTTCCTCTCAAAATGCCCCCTTCTCAGAACTTGACTGCCATGATATGAGAAGCCCAAGCCATGGAGAAGCCACATTAACAGTCCCAACTGAGCTGAGCTTTGAGTCATCTCAGCTCTGGCCCAGACACGCAAGCGAAGGAGTCTACGGATAGTATCAGCCCTAGTCACTGATTTGCCCCAGCCTTCAAGTCTTCCGGGCTGAGCCCCAGACATCACGGGGCAGAGACAAGCCGTCCTTGCCACGCCCTGTTCAAATTCCTGACAAATTCAAATTCCTGACAAAAGCTATGCTAATAATAAAAAGATTGTCGTTTGATGTCACTTAGTTTTGGGGTGTTTTGCCACTTAGTAACTGGGATGGTTCCTAAAATGTTTTTTCAAGAAATGTCTATTAAAATGCAAACACAGTACTTGGAAGGATAAACTTTTTCAGATGAACACATGCAATCAGTGTGTGTAACAGACAGCAAAGCGGGGAAAATGAGCCAAGAGATGTTCTCTTGTTTCACTGACATGAAAGCATCCCTGGATAAAGGCACATAAGTTGCTTTCAGAAAGCTGAAGGCAGAAAGATGGCAACCCTTTGAAGACAGCAGAGCTAAAAGAGAAAATGCTGCATCAAAAGGACAGCTCAAGGAAGAAACCAACATCTAGCTTCCTTTACTTCCCGGTTGCATTTATGGCCAGCTCCAAAATCCCTCAGCTCTCAGCAACTACACCAAAGTTGTTCATTTATGCCAATTTTCCAAATGTACTTATGAGTACATGAAAAACAGAATAGCAAATGCGGCACCCTTCCCTGAGAATCACAGGTCTATAGTAAGAATGGGCTTAATATGAGAGCTTCATGCTTGTAAAAAATGACTAGCAAATTCTAGCAGCCTTGAACCCCGAGAATGTAAATCCCAGCTAAGTCAAATTACGATATGGAGGAAGAAGCTGTAACTACAGGAATTTTCTTGCTAATAAGATACTACTAATTATAGTAAACATTTTAAAATGTAATTATTAAAAAACTGTAAAGTGGGGCACCTGGGTGGCTCAGTCAGTTAAGCATCAGACTCTTGATTTCAGCTCAGGTCATGATCTCAGGGTCGTGAGACAGAGGCCCACATTGTCATTGGGCTCCATGCTCAGCAGGGAGTCTGCTTCTTCTCCTCTCCCTCTCCCCCTCCCACCTCTCTAAAATAAATTATCTTTTAAGAAATGTAAACCATTATAAAATACATAAAATATAAGAATATTTAGTGAATATTTTAATTGATAAAATATAAAATAAGAGAGGCTAAGTTAACTATTCATGGTTTTATTCAAGCTATTATTCAGTGCAAGTAAAAATGATGGAGCAAATAATAAAAATTATTTTAAAAAAGGATGGAGCAAGACATATAATCTGTATTTTCTGGGACTAAGAACAGGAAATGCCACACTGCAATGTGAATTAATTCTACTTTAGTAACTAACACTAATGTCTGTGCCCCCAGCTTCACCACCCTTCCCATTGTTTTTTGGAAGTGACTTGAATCTCACTTCTCAGATTAATAACCTAAGTAAACTCAGATTATTAATATAAATATTGGAGTTTTCTTTCCATGAAGTACATTTACAGCCTTCTAAAGAAACTCTGGGGAGTTTGTTCTCAGTCATGAATTCACCATGTAACTGGTACAATTCCCAAGTTCATTAGACTTCCATGATACTTGTTTTGGTCTGTATCAGTGAGCAGCTTATTAACCCTAAATCCCTAGTCCCCAAAGAGACTGAGAACAATCCAGGCCCCTCTAAGCCTGTTCAAATTTATTTCTCTTGTCTCTGGAGACCCTTTAGTAGTTACATGGTGTAATTTTCTGGAGTAAAATTGTTATCTGTCTCTGATTCCAAGAGTTTGCATTTATTGCAATGAGTAAAATAGTATGTCTCCTAAACTATTATTTGTACCAAGCCATACTGGAATTCCAAGTAATAAAAATGGGGAGTCCATTGTAATATATGAACTTGGAAGCCAAACGTCCCCCCTTAGACCAGTGGCAGTATCTAAAGAACTGAGTCTATGTTCAAGAGCAGAAAGGAGCAAGTCCCTATCAATCTCGGGCCCACTTGACCTTCTGGTCACGAAGTAGAAGGCTCTGGCTGCTCACCACCTCTGTGTTCTCTCCTTCCCAGGGACGTCTCTTACACCAGCGTCGCTGCCCTGCCATCCAAAGGCCTGGAGAACCTGAAGGAACTGATCGCAAGAAACACGTGGACTCTAAAGAAGCTTCCACTTTCCTTGAGTGTCCTTCACCTTACACGGGCTGACCTTTCATATCCAAGCCACTGCTGTGCTTTTAAGAATCAGAAGAAAATCAGAGGGTAAATGACAGGTGTCTGGAATAAGCGACAAGAGGTCTCGGTGGAAGTTGAAGTAATTTCTGGGTTGGGGGAAAGTTTGTGGTTTGAAAGCCAGGCGGAAAGAACTGAAGCATCCCTAAGAAACATAAACTCCATAGGACACAATGTCCCTGTAGACTGAAAGTGACTGCAGATGAGAAGTAAGACCAAGGTCACTGCATCACAGCAGGGAGGGGTAGGGATCTTGTAGAATCTTGTAGAGATTATACAACATGATTCCTACTCTCCAGATTCAACACATATTAGGTCCTCAACACATACTAGATGCCACAACTATGAGGACAAATTAGAAACACAAGCAATTAAGACTTCGATTATGTCACAGCTTTCTGGATGCCTGTGTGTGGGCTTTGGACTCAGCTGGCTTTGTACCCAAGCTCTGCCACTTTCTAGCTGGGTTATTCCAGCCTCCTTACTTAACTTCCCCGACCCTCTGTGAAGGGAGATTGTACTGTTATCATTCACAGAGGTTTTGAGAAGATTAAATGAGAACAGAAAACACCTATTGCAATGACCTGGAATGTTTTAAATTCTCAATAAATATCAGCTAGGTTATGAGTTATTTTATTATCAGACTGCCTGCAAGCTGCAAAGGAGGGACAGCCTTCTCTCCATGCTTTCTCTGCATCTTGTCTTCACATACACTTTGCCTCTACTTTATTCCCCCCTTCTGTCTCATGTAATCCTGTTGTCCTAACACCACCTTCATTTCTCATGTATTCGCTTCTTCTCCGTGTCTATACAATATCTACTGGCTGACTTTCTGACTCATATTTGCATCAGAAATAAACTGGGACCTAGTTGTCGGGGCAGAAGCAAAAGGGAAAGTTCAATGGGTCTGCAAAGAAGGCCAGTATGGGCGTGACACCTGCAGAAAGACAGAAGCGGGTTACGGGGGGGTGATAGGAGCCATCAAGGAGGCTTGATACTGACACCATGTGGCCCTGGCTAAGAAAGGACAAGGGATGGGTGGGAGGTCTAGAGAGGACCTCAAGGTCAGGGCCCAGATTTCTTATTAGCCTCCAAAAAGGTTGGAATATGCAGTCCATGGGGCATTTTAACCAGAGCACAACAGATAAATCAATATTCCAGCAGCTAAAGCGAGTTAAAGAATCCCTTGTGATGTCAGTATGGGGGGCTAGGGAAAAACTAAATCTCACTTCCATGAGCATGTCTACATCCTAGCGTACATTTATTCATTTGTTTGATAAATATTTATTAAGCACCTACTATGTGCTTGGCACTGTCTTATCCTATAGCAATGACTAGGTTGGACAAGAGCCCTCTTGCATTTTGTTTACATTCTAGTAGGGGAAGCATATAGGAAGATACCAGATATTACTATAAAAGAAATAAACATAAGGTAGGATAATTTATTTAGGGAGATCAAGGGACACTTGAGTGGGGTGGGGTGGGTAATAGGAAATGATGTAGGAGAAACAGGCCTGACTAGATCATGTAGAATCTTGTCAGATCATGGAAATCTCAGGAAGTCCACATATTTTACTCAGTGTTGGGGGACCATTAGGGGCTTTCAGCAAGCAGTGACTTATTTCTGTGCCTTGCAGAATCCTTGAGTCCTTAATGTGTAATGAGAGCAGTATTCGGAGCCTGCGTCAGAGAAAATCTGTGAATGCTTTGAATGGCCCCTTTGACCAGGAGTATGAAGAGTACTTGGGTGACAGCCATGCCGGGTACAAGGACAACTCTAAGCTCCAGGATACCCACAGCAACTCTCATTATTATGTCTTCTTTGAAGAACAAGAAGATGAGGTCCTCGGTTTTGGCCAGGAGCTAAAAAATCCACAGGAAGAGACCCTACAGGCCTTCGATAGCCATTATGACTACACTGTGTGTGGGGGCAATGAAGACATGGTGTGTACCCCCAAGTCAGATGAGTTCAACCCCTGCGAAGACATAATGGGCTATAAGTTCCTGAGAATCGTGGTGTGGTTTGTGAGTCTCCTGGCTCTCCTGGGCAATGTCTTTGTCCTGATAATCCTCCTCACCAGCCACTACAAACTCACTGTCCCACGCTTTCTCATGTGCAACTTGGCCTTTGCAGATTTCTGCATGGGGATGTATCTGCTCCTCATCGCCTCTGTAGACCTCTACACTCATTCTGAGTACTACAACCACGCCATCGACTGGCAGACAGGCCCTGGATGTAACACAGCTGGCTTCTTCACCGTCTTTGCCAGTGAATTGTCAGTGTACACACTGACAGTCATCACCCTGGAGCGCTGGTATGCCATTACGTTCGCCATGCGCCTGGACCGGAAGATCCGCCTCAGGCATGCATATGCCATCATGGTTGGGGGCTGGGTTTGCTGCTTCCTGCTCGCCCTGCTCCCTCTGGTGGGAATAAGCAGCTATGCCAAAGTCAGCATCTGTCTGCCCATGGATACTGAGACGCCTCTTTCCCTGGCGTATATTATCCTTGTTCTGATGCTCAACATAGTTGCCTTTATCATTGTCTGCTCCTGTTACGTGAAGATCTACATCACAGTCCGAAATCCCCAGTACAACCCGGGGGACAAAGACACCAAAATTGCCAAAAGGATGGCTGTGTTGATCTTCACTGACTTCATGTGCATGGCCCCAATCTCATTCTATGCTTTGTCGGCACTGATGAACAAGCCTCTCATCACGGTTACTAACTCCAAAATCTTGCTGGTTCTCTTCTATCCACTTAACTCTTGTGCCAATCCATTTCTCTATGCTATTTTCACAAAGGCCTTCCAGAGGGATGTATTTATCCTGCTCAGCAAGTTTGGTATCTGTAAACGTCAGGCCCAGGCATACCGGGGCCAGAGGATTTCTCCAAAGAACAGCAGTGGCATTCAGGTCCAAAAGGTTACCCGGGACATGAGGCAAAGTCTCCCTAACATGCAGGATGACTATGAACTGCTTGAAAACTCCCATCTAACCCCAAATAAGCAGGGTCAAATCCCAAAAGAATATAACCAAACAGTTTTGTAAGCTAACCCTACACTAGTTACAGTGGTAGGGGGACTTCTAAAAGGCTGGTTTCTTGAACATGTATTCCAAACCCATTACATACACCAGAAAGCTGGCCTAACCCTTGTGCAGGTGATGTTTCATGGGGTGAAAGTTCATTTCTGGAGAGAGGATAGCATTACCACCTAATCATTACCTCCCAGAAGGAAAAGAGACTACCAGCACGTCTGAATCCCAGTTGATATCAAAATAACTGACACTTTCTAGAAGGTTTGCTTGATGCTAACTGCAGCGACAACATTGTATAAGATGCTCAACAGATATCAACTGAAGCAGATCAACACTGAGCTTCTCACCTGTAGACAGTATTTCATACTAAAGATTCAGTAAATGGCAAATGCTATTAACTTAGTTGGTGACCACAAGATAAAATTAGCCCCAGGTTGGCTTGGTCCACCTTCGTGTTCCTGGATACAACCAAAGACAATGTGAATTCCTCGAAACTGAGAAGTCCAAAAGGATACATGCATGGAGTAGCTGTTATGAGGTGAAGGAGGGGAAAGGCTTAGCTTTGCGTCATTTTTTCAAACTCTGAAACTATTAATCATCTCTTCACAAGGATCTACCTGATGTGACCCAATTATTCTGTGTTTCCCGGAAAAAAAAAAAAAAAAAAACAAAAACTGGCAAGATTTCAGCTAATGTGGCTGAGCAAACTAAGAATTGTTCTTCTTGGCTAGTCTCATGGCATAAAAGACGTGAACTCTAAAAATATTTCTAAGTAGCTGCAAGTGGGAATTATGAACAGAGCACACTAAATCACCCACTGATTAATAAAGCAGGCTGGACACAAGGTAACTGTTTGCCCTCGGGCAAATCACAGGGCCACTTCTAAGTCTAGAAATGAAAGAGCTTGATGGCCTCTTCCAGGTTTAAAACTCAACATATATCCCTTGCCCTTAAAACATGTTTCCATGACCAAAAAGAAAAGTGCTAAGAAAGAAGAATCTGTTTTTCCTATCTTGTACGACTGCCATCTTTTTCTCTTTAGAGTCTAGACATATGACCCAGGAAATTTCTTCTTTGTTTCTTTTTTGGTTATGATGTCTGAACATACTGGTCTGGATCTGAATCATTCATCAAATTAATAGATCTACACAGCTATAATTATTAGGCCAAAAAGAGATTGGTATTCATATAATAGAATAAAAGGTGGTTTTACAAATTTTTACTCTATAGAGTTACTATGTCACTGTTCAGATTAACTTGAAAACATTGAACTTGTCTTCAGGGATTGGTTTCTTTACTTACTTGTTTCCAACCCACAATATGCACTAAAGCTATCAAACACTCAAATAAAGCAACATTAAAGCTATCAAGAGAAGTTTCTTCTCTCTGAAACTGCTAGCTCTTTCTAACCTGTTGATCATTGGGCATAATCTCTATTCCCCAACAGTGCTCCCTTACTTAAAATGGTTAGGATCAATCTTCATCCATAGATGTACTTTCCAGATTATCTGTCAAAACAGCCCCTTAATTTCATCCCAAACAGAGATGGCATTTGCTTTACAGCTTTTGTTGTTTTAAGTCTGTAGAGTAGGGTTAGTGGGCCCAGTGGACCCCCAGAGATGGTTCCCCTGATTCACCTAAGATATCCCCATAGCAATACCCATTTCTGATTATCACTGAGACTTGGACGTCTTCGTAGAAATATTATGCACACTTGAAATCATGACATATCCACCGTTCATACATCCATTCACTTGTGACTAATGAAACTAAAGAAACTAAACAGTTGTGTTATTTTTTGGCATGTGTTTCTCACCTGTGACATTTTGAAATAGTACATCCTGATAAATAATGTGTTTTATCTTGAGTAGTTGAAATAACACTTTGGAAACAGTCCTAGAAAAGTAAGTTCAACACCATTATTACTAAAATTTGCATTCACAACGTGAAATAAATTTTCTTCCTATGAAATGATTGTGCTGAGTCCTATAGTAATGCTTTCACAATTTGTGAGCTTCTTTTAGGGTCCCCATTATCTGTGTTACAACTCAAGACAAGAAGAAAACAATTGGTAAATTTGGTATTGAATTCATATTAATAAATAAATTGCTGACTAATGGTAACTTAAGTATAAAATTGCATCTTGATTATAAATGGTCTTTATGTGAAAAACTTACTCATGATGAATTGAATTATGATTCACTGACAGGCAGCGATGGCTAAGAGAAAAATATGGTTAATATTGACTTTGGGAATTTAAATAGAGCTCTAATGAAGATGACAAATCTATGCTACTTGGTCAGAGTTTAGTTTATCTAGCAGCTTTCAACTATCTGAAGATAGACCAAAATCACTAAGGATAAATGGCCTTTAACCAATCACAGAGATGTCACAAAATTCATGCCCTAAGTTTATACATGTTGCCCAAAGGAGTGTCTCTCAAAACACCCTCAAAGTTTATTAATTCTTGCTTGTTGGATAATCTACTTTTTATATCAGAAAGAACCAATTAGAAGAAAAGAGTATAATGCAGAGCAGCACCATGAGAGTGTCAAGAAGGCAAAAATGAGGACCAAAAATGAAAACTATAATCACAAGAATTCAAACCAATAACAGTTTGAGAAGAAATATTCTTAACTGCTTAGAGTTTGAGGGTGGGAGGCAGAATGTATTGTAACACAACAGAGTGATTCTTATCCTGAATACTAAGGGGACAAGAAAAACTGGGTAGCAATGCATCCTGTTTTAAAAGATAGAAAAGTTCTAGCTCCGAGGAGTGAGCTGAGTCCTGGCACCTACCAACCTTCTTCTTTCAAATTCCACTGAAATAACAGTGAAAAAGCATAAAATGGGACCAAGCCAAAACTATACTGTGAACAGGAGGAGTGACACCTACAACAGACTGAAGTCCCTGGTGGCTTTCTGGAAGATGGAGAGTCCATGGCCTGGAGTTGATGGATAACAGAGTGGACAAGGCTGCAGCTGGAACACAGTGACTGGATAAGGCAGTTGTGGAGAGATGTGTTCCTCCCTCCAGAGTCCCAGAGAGACCCCAAAGCCTGAAATCACATGACTGAGGGGCTAACTCGGGTAATAAATTGGAAATCTGTCTCACATGGCCACCCCATTGCCTCTCACTACATCAGTTAAAACAACTGACACATTCAGTGTTTGCCCCAGGCTGAAATCAAGAAAGTGATCTTAAAGGAAATGAGTGATCAGTGCAGATGGGGCCAAGCTCCTGGTCTGGGGCTGGGGCAGACCCAGCCCTCTTGCCTACTTCTGCCTTTGCATCAGAAAACAAAGCCTGGATGTTGACATAGGCATCACCATCAGCTCCCCAGTCAGGGAAAGGCATGTTGGGGAAAATATATATACGCCATTAACCTGACATTAGTCATCCTAACTTTCATTCAAAAATATAAGTGAACCACAAGAATTACCGACATTTGAAAAAAATGAACTGTACATCAGTAGCAAACACAAGAAGATCAAATTGAATAGGACATTTCTCTCCCTCTCCCCCTCCCTCCATGCACTCTCTCGCTCTCTAAAATAAATAAATAAATCTTTAAAAAAAAGAAAAGAAAAGAAATAGAGGTCTGTTTTCTAAGGCTATAACCTTAGAAAAACTTTCTAAGGTTATAAAGGCAACCAGTTGAAAAAGTTAAAATTAATACTAGCAAAAATTTTTTTAAAGCTGGGAGTTAGCAGATAGCTTGTCAACTTATTTCTTATTCTTCATTATATTCAGCCAGAAGATATATTGTCTAAATAGCTATACCCTAAAAAAACATGTATTTAAGTGTGTAACAGAATTATGAAAGTAAACACCAGAAGAATTAAAATGAAAAATTGACCAAAAGTGGTTTTCTCTGGAGATTGAGACTAGGGATTGAGTGGTGTTATACACCAAATTGCATCTACTATCCTAACCCCCAGTGTTTCTGTATTTGGATACAGGGACTTTATGGAGGTAATTAAGATTAAATGATGTCATAAGGGTGGGACCGAGTCCTTATGAGAAGAGGAAGCGCCACCAGAGATCTCTTTCATTTCATTTCATTTCATGTATGATCTCTTTCATACATCTCTCTGTACTCACAGAGTACTCACAGAGAAAAGGTCAAAAAGTCACAAAGGTCCACAGCCAGAGAGTGGCCATTGAGGAGAGCCTACCCCAGAAACTAAATCTGCAGGCACTTCATTCTTGGACTTCTAGATTCAGAACTTTGAGAAAGAAAATTTCTGTTATTTGGGCCACCAGTGCTGTATTTTGTTACAGCAGCCCGAGCAGACTAATACAGATGGGAAATTTTTCAGTTGGTACTCTTCTGCACTGCTGATTTTTTTTTATCATATACATACTTTTTTAAGACAGTGGAATGGAAATTATTATAATAGTATTATGCTTTAAGGTAATTTACATTAAAAATGTGGCATTTAAAAAAAGGTACAGAATGGTCAATTTTATCAGATATTTGAGTTAATATGTCTTTAGAATGATCAGAGAGGGAGTCAGATATCACATTGAAAGTGACTTGAGGGGCACCTGAGTGGCTCAGTGGGTTAAAGCCTCTACCTTTGGCTCAGGTCATGATCCCAGGGTCCTGGGATCGAGCCCCACATCAGGCTCTCTGCTCAGCGGGGAGCCTGCTTCCTCCTCTCTCTCTCTCTCTGCCTGCCTTTCTTCCTACTTGTGCTCTCTGTCTGTCAAATAAATAAATAAAATCTTTTTTAAAAAAAGTGACTTGAACAATAATCTAGCTATTATAAAATTTACATTTTTAGGATGTGATAAATCCAAGCCAGTGAGTCTTAAAGTGCCTATTTGGTAGCTATATCTGGCAAACTAAACACTAAAAAAAGTAAAACCCCTTTATAATTTATTCTATTGGATGGCCTCATTACATTAAATCAGAATTTTCGTTTCCTATAAATGCATTGCTGTTTAAGTTATGGCAGGAAAACTAAACAACTAATTGTTATCCATCATATGAATTTAGTAGGTAAAAAGTAAAGCTTTAAACAAAGTACGGTAATCAAGATAGTGTAAACAACTTAGATTCTATCACCCATTTAGTATAATTTGGGGGATCTATTTGGGGAATATTTTGGAATATTTAGGAATACTGTCTTCATTTACTGAAGTATTTTAGGTGGAGGGGATTAGGAAGTTGATGGCAACTGCTGTTTGACAGCACACAATAAAAAAGTTTAATTGTATGTCAGTCATGCGCCTCTCAGTCTTAAATGACAACATGGATCCTTGTAGCCCATTTGGGGGTAGTAGAGTCACAGCTCACTATGGAAATAGCTCAGGCATATGGAAACCATGTAATGATGTATTCATAATTCACCATAATGGGATTTAAATAAAGGATTCTAAACATTAGGAAATCTACAATCGAAAACAGCATTACAGATCTGCCCCTCAGGCAGAAAGTATTTTGACAAAAGCCTATTTATAACATTCCCATGACTCCATTTCCTTTCACCACATCTGAATCTGAAGGACTAACCCCAGAGAAAGTTACAAAAAAGTCTGAAAGAGCTTCAGTTCTCTAGGAGGCTTTTCAAGTTGGTACTCTTCTGCAGATGAGGTAAAAGTTTGAGAAAAACAAAACCATATCATCCCTGTTTCTTT